ACTAGAGCTTGGAAGAAGAGGAGGTCGAGGATTCGAGTCCTACGTCATCTTATTAGCATTTTGGAGGTAAGAAGTTGTTACATTAACCTTCTTCTAACTAGATCTATTCATGTTTGAGATTAGGGTCATTTTAGCAATATTGATATTTTGTTTCGGGTATTGGGTATGATCTGAAGTTGCAACTTTAGATCTCGGCTCAACTTGGCTCTTATGGTTATAAAGCCTCAGCCTTTAGCAGGATAATGCCTTTCTCCATCCCTTAAACCCTTATCTACCTTGGTTTTGATGAGTCGGCCCATGTATGCACGTAAAGTTTGCAACTTTACATGACAAACGTGCCCTAGGAGGCTACATCTACTTTCTGGAGCATTGGAGTAGCATAGAATCACGTGGACATAGGATAAATTGCATGAACTCGGCAAGTCGGATAATCCAACTCGGCGAGTTAGGGAGGGTTTTTCCATTACTGGCTCTGCATGAACTCGGCAAGCCAACATGTCAACTCGATGAGCCAGTTAGGGTTTCCCAACAATTGGACACACATGGACTCGACGAGTTGTCTGGAAATTCGACGAGTCAACTCGGAGTTTCATGAAGGACTCGACGAGTTGTCTTGAAATTCGACGAGTTATCTCGAGTTCAGGAAGGACTTGACGAGTCAGTGAGCTGCACCCGGCAAGTTGGATCAACATGGATTGTTGATCTTGACCATTGACCTTGACTTTGACCAAGGGTTGACCAGCTTGACTTCTGGGGTATTTTGGTAAATTAGAAATTTATGGAAATGGCCTTATGGAAATTATAGGTGGTGGAGTCTGTGGCTGTGAATCAATAGTTTGAGCTTATCATCTCAGTACGGAACTTGCGAGGTGAGTTCTTGTCACTATACTAATATGGTTGAAGGCACCAATGATGGCCCTTTTTGGATTTGTACCCTGGTTTATTGCACATTATGCTTTATGATATATTTCCTGGTTATAGGATGGTTGCTTTGTTAGAGATCAGCTAGATCAGTATCCTGGTTATAGGATCGTTGTTATGTTAATGATTTGTTAGATCTACATGTGTATCTGTTTATATGTATGTGCACATGTTTATTGGTTTGGGGGACTGGGTTGAGGCAGCTCCTGCTGTGTTCTGTAGGCCAAGACACCTAGGGCGGACCAGATAGATTGCAGGCTCGAGTAGGGAAAAGTAGTCAGGCGGAAGGCGTAACGAGCGGTCCGGATAGGCTGAAGGCCCTGAGATGCGATCCAGACGTGCCAAAGGCTTAGAGAGCGGTCCAGATAAACTGATGACCTATGAGGCGGTCCAGCCAGACTGATGGCTCATTATGTATAATGTTTCTTATTTGTTTATGTGATATGGTTATATCTATAAGTTGTTGGTATTTTGGGGAAACTCACTAAGTTTCGAGCTTACAGTTGTTGATTTTGTTTTAGGTACTTCTGATGATCGCGGGAAGGCGAAGGCATGATCGTGCACCACCTTATATTTTTATGATTTGATTCTGGGATACTCTAAAATGAAACTATTTTGAAACAAATCTGTAATAATTATTGGTTTTTGAATGTTAAAAAAAGTTTAAAATTGCCTTGAATTTTATGGATGTTAAAATAAGACTTCTACACCAAGATTGAAGCTTTTTACCTCCACAAGGTTCACAAGGGGGACAAGTTGTTGGATCCAAATCCTTGAATAAAACACCACCACATCAATGCTCTTTCTTCTACTCCAAAATCTCTAAATTGCACCAATAATGGCTAAACAAGCTTCGCAATGCACAAACACTATTTAGTGTTTCGAAATGAGGAAGGAGGTTGCAGATAAGAACGTGCATGTGGCCATAAATGTGTTTAAATAGGGTCCAAACCCTAAAATTTAGGGTTTGCGCCATGTTTTCATACGTCCGGCGTACCAGCATATGCACATCATACTAATGCGATCCAGGGTACGTTGTGTATACAAAGTTGTACGCCCCACATACTCCATCCGACTATGACATTAAAAAAGTTTAATCAGGGACTAAACTTGAAAATAAAGCACAACTCATGGGATAACATGAGTACCTGAATAAGAGGTGCTACATTTGATATCTTTCTTACGTTGAGGTGAGTTTCCTTCATTCTACTTGTAGGTCGAAGGCACCAATGCCGACCTACTAGATTATGTATCCTGGTATATTGGATTATGTTATGTTGGTTATATGTTAGACTGGTAGATCTGTATGCTTACCTGTGTTCATAAGCTTTGTGTTAGAGAGGTAGATCTATATGATATACCCGAGCTGGTCCGGATACGCTATAGGACTTGTGAGGCGGTTCAGTCAGACATAAGGCACAGAGAGTAGTCCATATAGGCTATAGGCCCTACGAGTGGGCCAATCATGATGAAGGCTCATATATACATGTTGATATTTTTTGGTTGTATGTAGTACTTTGGAGGAACTCACTAAGTTTTGTCTTAGTATTGCAACTTTTGGTATTAGGTACTTTAGAGGACTGGGGAAAGCAAAGGCTTGACTACGCACATTATCCTGGATCTTTTATGAGATTATGATTTTAGGATACTCTGATTCATGTTTATGACTTTTGGAAACTATGTTTTGTAAACATTAATGGTTTTGGATTAGCTGAAACAATGAAATACTTTATCTTGATTTTTGGGATGTTATCATTTATGTTTTTGTACTTTAATTTTGAAGTTTCTTTGTATGTTTTGTGTTTGTCGATAACACTATAAACAGTGTTGTAGCATAGCTTTTCGGAATCGTATTTCATAGAACTGTTATCTTGTACTCTGAAACCTTGCTTCCCTTCAAACTTAATTAAGTTAAACAAGATTTAGTTACATCTCGTGTTTATTTACATTAAGAAATCATAACATGATTGAATTCTTGACTCTTCAAGGCAGGATTAGGTCATGTAGTTGGTAGAATATGCCATTTAATTAATAAACATAGCAAAATGTTATATTTTCATGCCAAATGGAAGTTAAGTATACATTAGCATGACTACATGGCATTATTACCTGGTATATAGGCTATACCATGCTAGAATGGTTTATCTAAAAACAAGATAAATGTTTGTTACCTTTCGGAAACTTTTTTTTTAGTTTGATGGTATTCTTAAAACATTATAAATAGTTGGTTACCCTTTTATTATAGTAACCATTTTGTTTAGTAACAATTATAGTCATTAAAGATGGAATTGTTATATTGATTGGGTATTTTGGTTTTGTGAAGGGCTATGATGATTACTCTTGATTTAATGGAACCCATCATGTTGTTGTAATGTTGTTGATTAGTCAAGTCTTACATCTTTTATACAAATCAAGCTTACTAAACGACGTTCAAGAACCTATTAATATAGAAATTGTAATGAAATATGTAGATAATAGAGTGAAAAACAGGAAAAAAAAGAAGAATGTGAGAGATAGGTATAGAGAAACAATGAAACATAGCCCTTCATAGGTTCTTGAATATTGTTTATGGATGACATAAAAGGTCATGGATTAACATCCTGTAACCTATGCTTATGGATGACATCTATGTGGACATATTTTAGGGTTTATGCATATACTGTGTTGGGTTTAACGGTTTATCACCAATCCAGTCTCAAAAGTAGTTTTTTAGTCATAGGGGCAAACTTGGCAAGTTTTCTTTTATTAAATTTATTCCTAGTTTTTGTGTTATTGTCAAACTCATTATGTTTCTTGTATAAATATAGATTTGTGTTTTCTTGTTTTTGTTTTCCTTGTGTTTTAAGCATGACCTATTTTTCCTTCCTAATTTAGAATCTTGCACATCTTTATTCCTAGCAACTTATTCATCTCGTCTTTTCGAAGCATCTTAATTCTCGACCTTCCCAAACACCTGACCTCGGTCACATGCCAAATCTTCTATTAACCCCTTTTGAATGTTCAAAACAACTGTAACATGTAATATCTCATCTCGTTGGACACTTTCATTACCATCTCGACTTTTTCCGAATCAACGACCTCTTTCTCGACCACATCGAAAGCCACTTGATTTGAAATTCCATCGTTGTAAAATTCACATCGTATTGTTTCTCCATCTCATTCTTGTCTTGACAACCATATCTTTGTTAATCAATCCTATTCCAAGAGATTCTTCTATGAAAATCCTTGGTTCGATCGTCTACTATATGTCGTGTGCATCTATAACCGACTTAAATTTGACTGCCCACACTTGATAATTTGTTGGAGTCAAAACTGGAACTTGATACGACATCGAATCTCCCAGTGCTATCAAAATCTTATTCTCCTTTTGACAACCCCAACCACTTTAATCAAGTTTGTTCTGAGAACACTTTTCTATCGATCAAGAAGACAAGGTCACGACCAACTTTATCGTCTTCCGTCACACGTAAAACTGAACGAAATCAAAGCAACGTGCTTTGATGACTTCCTGTTGGTTTATCATGTGTATCCGGTTAATTTCTTGCTTTTATTAGAACAAGCTTGATCAAAGAGAAATCCGGGCTCCTAGCGATCATAACCGAATCACACCTCTTTCAACGGAACCGTGCTCTGATACCAAGTGTAGGATTTAAACTTGAAGAATCCCCTGTTATAAGAAACGAAGAAGACGGAAAACCGATCAAGAAATATCTCATGAAGAAAATTGCACCTTTTTAAAACTTCCAAAAATAGCTCTCTTATTAGAATTAGAAAAAACTTGTTAAATACCTCTGGGTGTAATTTTATTAATTCAACAACACAAAATTGGTAGGGTTTTTTTTTTCAAAAATACCCCTGGGTACAATTTTGTCCCATATTGGGAATTATCCAAACATACTGCAAACCTCTGTCTTAATTGAACTTCTTGGTGAAATAATTCTTTAATTGCATGTGACGCTTTCTTGTAGACTTTTTTTAGTCTTTATATCAAGTGCCGTGTTAGGCCTTTTTTTCATAATATTGTCATCCGTTTAAAAGAAAAAAAAAACGTAATGTTGTAAGTTTGACTAGTAGCACTCGTTGGAAAATCAGGAACAACTAAATTGCAATTTAACTTTTGTAATTAATACACATCACTACATACAATCATTCAAGGACTAATATGATTGTCAATTGTATTTAAGCACACACTTACTTAAATATATACATGCTATTCAATAATTAGGGATCTTCCGTACCATGTTTGATGCGAAAGAAACACTACTTTTGCAAATGAAAGTGAACTTAACCAGAATTCGTCTTGAAATACATGCATGTTGCAGCTTAGATAACTGTATCTTCTAATTGGTTGGCCCCACCACGTACCTGTAATTTTATAAATGGATCTATGTATCACTTGATGATGTTACCGGAAGGACTTTCTTGTTTCTACGCATAATGGAAATTTCTGATGTGACAACAGCCGCTATAATAACAATCCCCATGAATATGAATAATCCAATGAAACTCTGAACATCAAGACTTTGTGGTGGGGCTTGATTAGGCTGTGAATTATCAGTAGGAGAGAACCCAAGATATTTTTCCTTCATTTTCATCATAGTTTCACTTTCTGTGACATTAATGACTCCCCTAGAAAAGTCCTGCAATAAAGGAGATCCACGTGGAAACGCCTGGGATATCAAACATGCCATGCAGTTAGGGAATTTATAATAGGGAAAATGACACAAATGTCCTACGAACTTTCTAGGGTTTATCCGTTGAGTCCCTAAACTTTTTGTCGAGCTTTATGGGTCTTTAAACTACGATATGACCTGTTCTTTTAGTCCATGTCAACCTATAATAGCCGATTCAGTGACCTTTTAGATAAAAAAAAAACTCACATTGTATACCTATAAAGCTAAAAAAATAAGGTTGGAGATCAATACAAAATTGAGTGTGAATCGGTTTTAGAAGAAAATGAGAGTTTTGTTTTTTTTTTTTTTTTTGTCGAATTGATCCCCGAACTTATTTTTGGTTTTATAGGGGTACAATGTGAGGTTTTTTGGTCTAAAAGGTCAATAAACCGGCTATTACATATTGATAGGGATTAAAAGAGCATACCATATCCTAGTTTAGGAACCATAAAGCCCGACAAAAACTTTAGGAACTCAATGGGTAAATCCTATAAAGTTCATAAGACATTTGTGTTATTTTCCCTTTATAATATTATGTTGTACTAATTCATGTGAAGTTATTCTTTTATATATCTTGTAGAAGACTAGTAAAATCACATGATCAGTAGATTAAATATAGTATGAGACTCACAAATGCAATTCCAGATTCCTGGTTTATTGGTCCAAACTTCATGTATTCAGAGCCATACTTAGCAAGAAAGAGTTCGATGTAGGGGAGCTCATCAACAATAGCACTTACACCGCCATTGGTCAAAGCACTTTTATAGTCTTCAACGCTTGTGAGAGGTATAAGCTGCTTGTCAGAACAATTGTATTTTTCGGTTATAAGATCTTTTAAAAAGGAACCATCTTGGTATCCAGCATTTTCAAAAGTTGGAGGCAATCTTGGACGTAGTTGATCTAGTGTTAACCATGAGGACAAAGTAGCCGTGAAAATTTGTATTACTATGAAAATCATACTTAGCCATATGACAAGCACAACTTTGGAGCACTTATTTTTTATCTTTCCTGCAAGAAGATCCATGAATTATTAGCATAGAAACCTTCCTTCGGTTAAATTATTTCCCGACCATTGATCTAATATATACACTCACCCTTATTTTAAAGAAAAAGGCGCTTTTAAAAACATTTGATTTTCTAAGGTGCATTCTATAGAACAACAAAGAATTATTCATGTACTAGTCACAATTAACTATTACAAGCCAATTAATATTGTATCCATGAACTACAAGACTCAATCTATCGACCTTCCATAATTTACAATAACTGACAATCCGAAAGAAAGAAAAATCTTGAATTATCATGACTAACCATTTATTTCACATTATTTTATATAGAATCCACAACAACTATTTGACATTGAAAAATAATTAAATCAAAATCAAAACGTAAGCTCCTGCTCAAAGTTTAAATTTCAATATATCTCAAAATAAGTACCTTCATGGAAGAAGAATGTCGATATAGGAAACCAGATAATCATTATGAGTTGGGTATAGATTGGGCTTGAAAAACTAGGATTATTCTCCCGATATTCTAAAATTGCAAGTGCAACCCCAGTGAAGATACATACAGCAACTATTGTGATCCATAGTCTCCATGTAAAAGGTCTTAAGAAAGTCCATAGGGTTTGGTTCCATTCGTGTGCAGCATGCACAAGCACATAGACTTCAGAATTCAAGTACGGAATTGTAAAGTCAACAATTTGAGCTCTGTTACCCCGAATGGTTACATCACCTGCGACAGCTTCACAAGTCTACAATATATAAAGTAAGAACTATTTCAGCGGATAATTCTTTTGTAATTTACATACAACTCTACCATAGTTTTTCCTACAATACATTTAACTTAACAAAAGTTTTATACAATCATTTATGACACTACAATACATTTAACTTGACAATAGTTTTATATAATCATTTATGACACTGAACTTTATATTCATTGAATTTGCTTATTTTATTTTTTACTACTCGTGATCATTGAATTCCATATCCATTAACACAATGTTGTATCCCACTATGGCTCATGTTGCCAATGGCTAAAAAGACTACATATAAATACTATGTATGAGTTTTTAAAATGTGTGTGCATGGAATAGATATGTTATGAAGAATTTACCTTGCCTTCAATGTGCTCTAGAAGTTGATAATAGGTGCCATTACTTTTCCCCATGTCATCGACGAAAGGTCTGAAGATGGGTTGAACTGTATATGGTAATAAGTTTAATGCATGGCAGAATATGGCAATGGAGAATCCACCTTCAACTTTTAATTTCTCATTCACTTTTACAAACTCAGTGAAGCCATCTTTCTTTGGCACCCATACTACTAATCTTGGGCATGGACTTTTTAGTTTCTTGGACATATTCCATTGTGGCCCTATAATGTCTTTTATTTGCAATCAACATATAAAACCCTTCAGAATTGGTATGAATAAGAAAACGAAAAATAAATTGTAACATTATATATAAAGAAGAATTGATATACTTAATGTTATAATAACAATAACAATAAGTCAATAACAATAACGACAACATCAATTACACGTTTTTTGTAGGAGATTTTGTACTTGATAGAATTGACTTAGCATTAGCTATTGGAAGTTGTCATTTGAGGATGGTTTATTCTAATGGGACTTAAAGTATGACACAGGATGTCACAGCTGACGTAATTAAAGATATTGTTATCCTATTCGGAGTCAACTCGCATGATTTTTCTTTATTGTTGTCTATGTATGCAAGTAAACAGAAACATATTAAATAATAGATTCCTTCTCAAGCTTTTGGTATTGTAATATTTTAGCTAATCTTTATTATCTATTTAGTTAAAATAGCCTATCCACCCAGGATGCATTATATTTATTATATCTAGATTCTAGACCAAACCCAAACTGAAAAATCTTAAGTTACAGAATTTTGGCGTATTGGTTTTTGCTAGAGAACGAATAGCAATGGAAAGGTTAAACTTTTATAAATTAAAAATCCTAGCTATATATGAAGTTTCTGCATAGATTGATGGATCATGAAGTGTCTACATCCGATAATTATAATTTCAGAGAATGGTGTATCATTTTTGTAGTTTCCGAAAGAATCGTCAAACATCTATCTTAAACTCACACAACAACAGATATATAGCTGTTCGAAAAAAAAATATCCTACCACACATAAATGATGTGTATAAATAATAAATTTCTTTCGCACTTACAAGTGCATACACATAGTTTAACATTATAACCTGATAAACGTAATATAGTTGATTAATTCACACTAATAACTTCCTGAAAATAACTGAAAAGTTTACGCTTATGTATGTGTCAAACTAATAAACATGTAGATTGAAAATAGTTCAAACTTAAAGGCATGGGTATTCAGACAATTTATATATGCGCGCATTTAAATGTGAACAGTTTTTTTTTTCGGTCATCCGATGTTGAATTGAGTCTGTGGTGGGATTCGAAGTAGACATCTCTCGATTTTGGAGTCATTAATTAAATCCAAGTGATCACCAATATTAGGCCCTTTTAATGTTTATATGACCTTTTTAAGTAGTCATTCACGTTTCAAAAAAATAGTTGTACACTTGTACTCTACCAACAATTTGTTACCGCATATCTGTTCATTAATTACTGCGATTTTATAATTCGATGTTTTTGAAGTGTAATATGCATATAAGGTGTATAGAATTTATTTATCTTAGACTATCAGAAACATTTGTCAAATGTTAACAACATACCTCCACATACATCTCCCTGTTCAGTATCACCTAGCTCCTGGATAGATCTTCTCCTGCGGCTAGATGTATCTTGGATGACTCTACTCATCGTCCCTTTTCTGAATCCATGTTTTAAATATGCAAATTCCGGAGTAAAATGTTTTTCTTTTGTTACTATAGATGCTTTCACAAAGTCAATCATGCAATAAATACCAAGCATGGCAGCTAAAAACACCAAGGAAAGACTGCAGTTCTTATGCTCCATATTGTGCATGCAGTAATTGTGTTTGTTAGACTTGTATGTTATATTATATAGAGATTGATGGCGGCTTGAAGTTTGTTGACATGTTAACTGTTAAAATCTTGAACATTCATGAGAGAAGAAATTAAAGACAGTGATTTGTTGCAATATTTAAGGCACAACTCTTTCCGAGCAAATTCCAGAATCCCTGTCAACTTCAAATGAGTTATATTGTTATTTTACTTATATATATCCTTTGCCGATCAATCTAGTTTTCTCTCTACTTGCAAGTGAAGCAAGAAAATATGGACTAGTTCAACTGAAATATATAAAACAAAGACATTTATTATTGAATCTTTTTTTTTTTTTTTTTTTTTAAAACGGCTAATTATTTTAAACATAAAAGGGACTAGCAATGGGCTGGGGGGGGGGGGGGAGGGGGGGGTTACAGTGCCGAGGTTCAAGCCTCGGATAGATTACACAACCTAAGGTCCGAATTTAACTTTCTACCATATCTAGAACGACATATCGAATAGTGCAACACGCCATGCACCTCCAAAACAATTTTGCAAACTGAAAAAAAAAAAGTGAAATTCAGTTTCTTCATGCTCATTACAAAAGGGGCAGAACATGGAGATATTCTTTTGATTAGGTGGATTCTATTCGGGAGTCTACCAAGCCTCGCACTCGAAACCATAATGTTTACTTTTAAAGGAGTGATTTTGTTCCAATTGGTCATCGCATGAATTCCTGCAACATAGTTATCCGAAGAATTTCCTGAAAGATGCAACCGAATAAGACCTTTGTCGGTCAAGCTCCCAATGCCACAAATCTCTACCGCCTTTAAATGTGATAGGCAAACACTTACCAATAACATAATTTAACTTCCCAAGCGCTCTACTATTTGCAATCTTCCTAGGCCAGTCCCACATCATTCTTGATCTTTTCAAGTGTTTGAATCACCTTGATCTGGGCTTTATGAAGATATAAGAGGTATATCCTTAGACTCCCCAACACCGCTTTGCAAAGCACAAGCTGCCCTCCAAAAGAAAGGGCTCGCGATGTCCAAGATGAAAGCTTCTATTTAATTTTTTCAATCCTTATACATTATAGTTTCAACTGGGATTTCCAAGCAAGCGAAAGGAAGGTCCCTACTTTTACATTTAAACTTACTTGCCAAAGTTTCGGACTCACGGTTATTCGTCCCAATATTAATAAGTTGCCTCTTGTTTAGGTTTACCTTTAAACTAGAACAAGAATCATATTAACATTCAAGGCATTTTCATCACCCCAATTCCCAAGAAACAAAGTGACATTCGGGTACTATATAATAGAGAGGCCAACACCATTTGCTGGGGTTACAACTCCACAAAACAACCCCTTATATTTATCCTCTTTCATGACAACATTCATACCTTCTACTACAAGAAAAAAAAAAGATGAGAAGGGACAATGAATCCCCTTGACAAATTCCCTTGCTCATGGAAAACTCCTTAGTGGGACTGACACTCTAGCCGTATAGATGATGTCATGGATCCAAGCCTCCCATTTGGTTCCAAAATTTATTCGCATTAAGGTGTCAATAAAAAGTCCCATTTTACATAATAGAATGCCTTTTTGAAATCCATCTTGAGGATGAACATATTATTCTTTACTTTGTTCCTCCAAGAAGTCACCTCATTAACATAACAAGACCATCCATTATATTTCTACCTTTTATGAAGGGAGTTTGTTCGTTATTTATCATTATCCCCACCACCATTTATGTCGGTTCGATAGGATTTTAGAAATAATTTTACCTATACAACCAATTAGTTTAGTATGACGGTAATCAACTAACGAGTGAGGATCTTTCACCTTAGAAGCAAGGGAGATACCTGACACATTGCAACCCTATTCAGGATCAATATTTCTCTATGTATTAAACAATCTTGAAGACATCTTCCCCACTAGTATTCTAGAATTTTTTTATGAATCGAAAGTTGAAGACATTGGACCCAGTGGCCTCGTCGTTTCCAAAGTTTCAAACTGTCGCCTTTTGTTCTTCCAAAGAACTAGGATTTCCAACATATTTTTTGTTTATCAGAAATTTATTTCTCCTGAAAGTCTTAAAAAACCAAATGGACCCGCTTTGGGCCAGTCACACAAAATCTTTGAATATTTAATCCATAAATGCTCTCTTTTTTCGAGCTCACTATCCAATTGAGGAAACCATAATTCTTATCCCTCCAAAGTTCCATTTGATTCTCGACTTTTTCTTTAAATCCATAAATTTGATTTTCTCTAACGTCTCAATTTCCTTCGGGCGGTTGATTATGTATGTGCTTGCTTCATTATCAAGGAAAAGATTGCTCTAAATTTTAATAGTTGCTTCGAAAATTTTGGATTAGGGTTTAGGATTTTGACATTTTAGAATCGAAACCAATGGTGCGTCATTAATGGTTGGTTTACATCCTTTTCTTTTTCTTGAAATTGGGGAAATGTTAGTGCCCCATATGGACTAAGCATTTTCCAATGTGTCAATGAATGTTGCAGTCTACCCATTCTTCAGAAACATTTTTTGTACAGAAATCAAAGATTCCACATATATCTTATGTACATTGTAGAAAACCTAGTAATTTAAACACATCATAATCTATCCTTATTGAGCCTATGAAATATTTGAGAATGTTAGTTTCCTTTATTGGCAAGACACAATACCCGAAAGAATGTGAAGGAGTGCTCTAGTAGTGTGTTGAGCACCGGGGAAAAGAGAGAAAGTCAAACATATATGGTAACAGTAGAGGAAGATCAAAGTCAAGGAAAAGAGGTTAATTGAAGAACATCAATTTATTACCTATTGGAATTAGAAGGAGAACGGTAACATCATAAATTAGTACCTAAACCCCTCAACAAACCAAGGCAAGAAGGAGTTAAATGTGCCAGTAGACCTCCATAATGATGCATTTATTTATTGTGTCAAAAATTAAATAGAATCATGGATAATCGATTATGGTGCATCATTTCATGTTAGTCATTTCATAAGTGTAATGCATAATTTTGGGCACTATATTACAAATTTTAGACTAGCAAACAACAAAAGCCTAAATATCACGGATGTTAGGGACATTATCCTTAAGATGACTTTGGGAAAAAAAATTACACTTTGAAATGTGTCAAGTACATTCTGGATCTTAATAAAATGTTGATATCAGTGGTCCACATGATTATGAGGGTCACCATCTTACGTTTGGTGATCATCAATTAAAGGGGACAAAAATGGAACTTGATTGTCGCTAAATGGAACAAATGAGGTACGCTTTATATGGTGGAGGTTCCTAAAGGTGAAGCGAATTCAATAGTTTAAGAATAAGGGACATCCACTCTATGGAATCAATGACTTGGGCATACGAGTAAGATGAAAGTGAATATGATTTCCTCCAAAGGGAAGATTTTATATTCAAAAAATGTGACAGGTAACTTCTGTAAGCCATGTTTCAATCACAAACAGAAGAAGGTTATTTACAAACATGGTTCAACCATCGAAGGTCGACAATTTGGAGTTTTTTCATTCATATGTACATGGTCCTACTTCATTTTTTGTGGGAGGTTCCATGTATTATGTTCCTATCATTGATGAACGAAACTAGGATATTTTGGGTTTTTTCTTGACGAAAAATATGAAGTATTTGGCATATTCTAGAAATAGACAATTGTTGAGGAAAACAAAACATGTGTGAAGATTAAGTGTCTTAAGTTGCATAATGAGGATGAATACAAAAATAAGGAATTTATTGATTGTTATGTTTAACTTGGGATTATTATGTTGAAAATAGTTCCTAAAACACGTCAACAAAAGGGTGTGGATGGCACGATGAAATATATGTTGAAAGAAGGGAACAATAAGCATGAGATTACATGCACGACTGCATAATATGTAATGGAAGGTTTTGCTAGTGTAACAACTTACTTGATCAATGGAATACCCTCATCCCCCATAGGGTTTAAAATTCCAAAAGAGGAATGATAGGTTAGAAAACATGAAAATGTTCGGTTGTGTCTCCAAGATCAAGATCAAGAACTTTGAAAGGGACATTTTTAAGGAAAAGGAAAATAATTTTACCCTTATATGATATGGGTTAAATGACATGGGTTACCACTTCTTGGATAACCAGAACAATAGGTTATCAAAAGTCGATATGTAATATTCAATAACTGTGCCTTCTACAAGGATAAGATTGCAGCAAGCCCAATAGAAAAAATAAACCAGAAACAAAAAGATCAAGTTTAGTTTAATGAAATATCATAAGATAACATTGTAAACCATATCAATACTTCCTAAATTTGTAAAATTTCAGGAACTAATGTGTCACACCCCAAAACCAGGAACGGCGGAAACGTTCTGGGGCGGAGGATGTCATGTATAATATCAACAACAATGTAAATTAGTAAACAAGCAACAACATCATCCATTGCATTAATAATATAATTATTATACAAATGTGTTCTGTCAAATTTTGATAAACACTAAAGCATAAATCAAAATGAAAGATAAGTCTTGAACAAGCTCCATCTTCCTTTCTCCTTGCATTGGTACCTGTCTATGATGACCTGAGGATACAAGTAATTTTGAAAGCGAGTATCAGCTTTAAACCTGGTGAGATCATAAGTATTTAGTATCTTAATTTGTATGTAAGAATATGTAAGTCTATGTATTGTAAGTATTGAAAGTGTATATGAACTGTAAGTGTTTGAAAAACCCTAGAATCCCTATGATTCCTACTAGTATATGAAGGTGTCTTCTACCAAGACCTAACTGTTCTGAATGTAGTCTTCTACCAAGACCTAACTGTTCTGAATGTATGTTTCTTGTAAGAGTATGTATTTTCCCAAGTATAACTATCACTATCCAAAAATATAGTTTCTACATTATTGTGTATCGTGTGAATGTTCACGAAGTGAATGTAATGGGAAAATGAAATAGTACTATGGTGTAGTGTTGTAAGAACTACTATCGTACTAATTACCTTAAACCGGATTTATATTAATGCATTATGTGATAAATTGCACCATACTATCGACTAGTAACAACGACATAATGAATGGTCGTAATAACAGAATGACGTTTGGCACCCGCAGACCTGCAGGTCCGGCTGTAGCTAGCAGCAAGGTGTAGGATTGTCAATCCAGTATAGATCTATACGCAAACTCACGCTCTCCCTCCAATAGAATTCTGGCTACAACTCGAGCCATGACATTTAAGCCATGCTTCGATTTAAATCACAATAATTAACGTATTCTTGTATATGTACTGTAATGAACTGTTCTAGCTGTAATGTAATGAGCTGTTCTAGTTGTAATGTGATGAACTGTTCTAGCTG